GTGTGTGTTGCAATGGAACATAAGGTTGTATTGTTTAGCACTTATTTCTTGTCCTTAAGAAACAAAATTAAAAACTCATATATACGTTGGTTTGGACAGAAAGAAAGGACAAGAGCAATGAGAAATGGTCATTGTTATGGCACACAATAAAAGAAAAGAGGTTTAATTATTCAGCATTTAGCCATTTCTGATAATCTTTTTACAATACCATATTTTAAATGTTTTGTTTTGGCCTGCAGGAATTGTAAAAAAAGAGACTAGCAATCTCAATATTCCATTTCTGGCACTGCATTGTCCTTGGTATGGTACGTCTGATGCTATTTACGTAATTAGTTTCCTTGTTTATATTTCTTACTATTTTAACTTATTGTATGCTTTTGACAGAGTGAGAGAGACATCAAGTTTCGATTCCAGATGATTTGGTGGTTTTAGTTTTCACTAGACGGTGGTCTTTATCACAATCTAAATTTGGATTTGATACAGTTGAATAATTAGAAGTAAAGATACATTTGTAAAAACGCCTCAAGTTCCTTTACCATGAGTCCATGACTACGTTGTAACTTGTAACGGTTTATGAGTGACATGTAATTCTAGCTACCAAAACACCACTCTACAACTCTCAATGACAAAATCTTGCCAATTATTTTTGTAAAGGTATTGTTGGTTGTTTCTTGTTTGTTTGTCAATTACAATTTACACAAGCACATTTCCATATTTGGATCTCGGTTATGAAGGTGTGTGTTTACGTTAGGGATGCACTCTCTTTCTGGTGACGTTGGGATTGTTTAGACATGTGATGTGTCAGAGGTATTGTTGGTAACGAACGTTGTACTTTAGGACCGATCAATCTTTTTGTCTTCTTAGCCTAATGGTATTTTAGACCACATTTCACGTCTTTAGGTTCACCTGCTTTCACACGTCTTTAGTGGTGTTTGGGACGCTATTCATAAGATATTATAACCGAGTTCGGATACCTGATGCTGAAACATCAGACAGTCAAGTTATCCATATATCGATCTCTTGCAGGTTCGCCCTTGGACTAAAACCCAACAACCAAAGGCTTTAGGCATCATAATATCTTATCAATTTGAAGGCAACAAAATTCTAAAAAAAAGTCTAGTTTTTGGTCTTAATCAGATTGGAAGGGCAGCATATTTCAGGTTCAAGCAAACAACTCGAGTTGAGCCAATTCATATGCAAGTTTGTATCGATCCTAAATCCACCAAATTTGTTATCCCCACTAGGCCATTACAGATTAATGAACATGACAACAAGAAACTCGTTTAAAATCACAGTCAAATTACATTTACAGCTGCCTAAATTTTGCACTGTAGTAGTGTATGGAGTCCAAGAAATAAAGGTAAACTAATTTATCACTTGTTTTTTTCTATAAATATGAAGGCAGAGGTGAATAGTATACATAATGAGCTCTCAGGTATTATACAAACCTCTCTGATGCCAGAGCTCTCAGGAAAACCTCTGATGAAGCTTCTTTCTGTAACCATGAAGTCTGATGGAAGTTTCTGTCGTAAACACGAGTCTAATGAAGTTTCTCTGCCTATCTCTCTGTTGTATCTATGGCACATGTCTTCTTCACCTACATTACATTACAAGCCAAATTACAAGATCATGTTGTTGGCCTTGTGGTCATCGATGAGCCTCTTCCCACTGGAACAACTCCTGAGAAAGCATCTTCTGGTTCTTCCTCTTCTGATAGAGCTGCACATCAGAGTTGACATATTTCAATCCCAAACTGATCTCAAACCGTTTTGTTCAAGAGATGTCACACTTACCAATAACGTCTTCACCAGCTTGAGCACCAGCAATCCCGATGCAGGAGTACAAAGAGTCCTCGTCCACTTTCAATTGATTATAAGCAACGTATATGTCCTCTATCGAAGCAGCTTCATATAGTGAAGTAAGTTCTTTAATGCACGACAGTTCCTAGAACCACAACAACCCCATCAGAAGAAGTTGAGAAGTCAAGTCAGGAACGACATATCATAGCAATTTTCTTTTTCCTTGTTTAAAGAATAGGAGAGTCCAAATTACCTTCCTTGGAACAGAGGAGGCCTGCAAGTGAGCTAATAGATTAAGCCAGTAAGCATTGGACTTGAGTTCAGCTTCATGTCTCATTAGGAGAGTTCGCTTTGCCTGTTAGTTGACAAAAGAAACACTACTTTCGATAAGCAACGAAAACGAAACAACAAGAGCTGAACTGAGGAGGCGAAAGAGACAACTGACCCGATCCAACTCCCTAGGGGCAATTTGGTTGCTATGCAGACCTCTAAGAACGCTCTTGCAGGCATCCACCGCCTTGTATACCTGGAAAGGAAAATGAGAAACTTGGTGAAGAAAACTGTTGATCTAAATGAAGCACATTACTGTAGCAAAATAAAAAAGACAAAAGACTGCACCTTTCCGGGGGTTGACGTCACAGATATTACATACCACCCAAGATTCAGCCTATCAAATAGGTTTAGCTCAAACGATACATCATATGTCAGTCCAAGAGAATCTCTCACTGTCGTGAAAAGCCTGCAATGAGCAGAATTTATCTTCTCAGCTATGGGTGGAAGAAAGTAAATATAGGTACATAGAAGCAGGGCAAGCTTCTGTCTGAAGTGAAAAAAACAATCAGATGTAGAGACATTCATTCTATTTAACCCAAAGCATTTTCGTGACACCTGATGAAAGCGGTCTTTTTTTAAACAAAGCTTCATTATAGCGGTTAATTGCTGGACAAGTTCTAAACCAGACAGTACAGTAGCAGTAAAGAGCTCAACTTTGACAACAATATCGTATAAGAGTTACCTTGAGTTTATGATTTCTGCCAGAAGACCCATTGCAATTCCAAAGAAGAGAGGGTGGGAACGCAGCTTTCTTTGCAACTCCGTGGCTCTTCCATCTAGCAACTGGTCCTCTGATTTCAAAAGTCCATCTGCAATTTTATGTCCATGCATGAAATATTGATAGCTACATTATCTCACAGCTAACTGCAAACTTATTGGAATTACTAAAAATACATTTCTGGTCTATGAGACAAGGTCAGAACCAGACCTATACACAGTTTCTATGAGGTTGAAAATTACAACACCATATGACTCCTAGTTTATGTCTATTCCACTAAGGGTGTCACTTACCATTAGCAACAGGAAGCTTCCTAATAGACTCAAAAAGGTCATCCCCCTCAACTGTAAAGCCCCAACGATTTGGCGCTGGTCCCGCAATGTATGCGCATGCTCTCTCATCAGTATCCTTCAAGAATACCTGTCCAGGGGTACATATGTGAATACATCCTGCTGGAATCACATATCAAAGAAAATGGGATAACCAAAGAGAAGAACAAAAAAATTACTGCTTTGTGCCTAACCTGCTGAAATTGCAAACCATCAGTTGCTTGGCGAAAAACTATAGGCTCAGATCCTGGTAGTTTTGCTGAATCATGGCTAGCTTTAACTGTACCAAGGTAATCAAGGATACAACGCTCAATTTCATCCTCTGAGAAGTCTCCCACAATGCTTACCTAAACGAAAACCACAGAGATTTTTCTGAAATCAAATAACTTAATATACTTTTTAGGCATATATCAGCTTCAAGTTTGAGAAATCACCTCCATATTATCCCCAACAAAATGACTCATGACCGCATCTTTCACAGATTCTAGATTCAGGTTCTGTAATGACTTAGGTGTTGGCTCAATAAAACGCTCGTCACCATTCAGCATCGCAGTCATGAGTTTATGAGCAGTCGCACGCTCCAAGCTTTTAGGAATTGATCGATAATACGAAAGGTATAGCTGCCTTGCTCGATCAAAAGCATCTTCCAACCAGACACTATGCTGCATACCAGAAAACCACAACCCTTTATCAGCAAAATATTAGAAATAGGAGGAAAAAGAACAAGCGGATAAAGAAACATTATTAACAAGTGAATTAATAAGAAATCAAGAGTCAGAAATGTTGCACAGCATTTTGACATATTATTAGTTATAATTTAATACCTCAAGCACCATGTGAAGCAGCTGAAAAGCTGCTTGCATTCCATTGTCTCTCAGAGTAAATCGGAACTCCATGGCAATGAACTCCTCAGTTGACTCCAATGAGCAGTTTATTAAATGATTTACACAGAAAAGCTCCACCTAGACGGAAATCACAGGGCTTTCAGATTACTTCATATCCATTTTTAAAAAATTGATCAAAAGAAAATCCCAATGCAATTGTCTACAACTTCACTTGCCTGCTCCCTTGAAAAGTCTCCAACTCGACCACCCTCGCTGAGTGTACGAACACCAACAACCACAGCTCCTTTGGAATCAGAAGTTTCAACAGCTCGTCCACCACCAACAATAAGCCGCATGACTCCAGCCCGAGATTCGGTCTTTGATATCTATATCGAAAAAGGGAAATGTCAGGGGAAGGACTTTATTTCTATGTACAAGATGCTACAATAGAAACTGTAGTATTGATTAACACCATAGTTCGTAGCATTTTTATATAGTTTCTAACAACCGAGGTCATAATTACTTACTAAAAAACATGTTTTCTGC